CAGTACATGTTCAGATCGCTCTTCAGAGAGCATTTGACAGGTGGTGAGGAGGTGTTGTATCATGTGCAGGGGCGGACTGACAACTCATGGGGCCCCCGGGCAATAGGGGATCATGGGGCCCCTGTGTCCTTACCCAAACTCAAAAAAGCCTATGAAAAAGGTACCAGGGGCATCTCATGGGGCCCCCTACTGACCCCGGGCCCTCAGGCAGTGCAGTTTCCAAATGGTCAGTCCGCCCCTGATCATGTGGATGATACCTCACATGTGAAAGCCCTAATAGCACAGCTAGTCACACTGTACCCAATCACCACCACATTAGTCAGTGTCCAAAAATGTGATAGGTAGTCAGGAATTTAGATGCATAATTTATGCCCCTAGATAGCCTGAAGGTGCCCCTTGGATTTTGGGCTTCTCTATGTGTCTAGGCTGTGAAAAAAGTCTCACACATGCGTAACTACTCAGGAGCAGTAGCAGAATGTGTTATGGATGTAATTTTCAGCAGGCCTCTACTGTGTTTAAGAAATATCTTGACAGTTTGTGTATAAAAAACAATTTTCCTTTATATAGCAAAAAAATTAAACCCAGTGCTGATTAAACACCACCAATAGAAATCTCGGTTTCTCTAAAACAAATGCTATGAACTTGATTTGGATACAGTGTCTGCATGACTCAGTAATTGTCATTCAAATTGTGACAGCGATGAAAACTGAAAAATGGCCTGGACTGGAAGGGGGTGAAACAGTCTGGTCTTCAAGTGGTTAAGTAAAATATCACTTAAACTGGTTGTAAAGTCAAGACTTTATCTTAAAAGGTAAAAAATGTCCCAGTAAAAGTATCGCCCCCTTGCCCCGCTAAATACTTCCAAGTAAGTACCTGTGTCCATCTATAGTAGCTCTCGCCTCTCCTGTATTTACAGGTCAGAGGGGGAACAGTGGGAACCATTAGCTCCTACTACTGTCAATCAACTCCATTGAGAAGGGAGCTGGGGTGGGGCTGAACTGTGCTGTGTGTGTCTAAGGATGCACACAGCCCAGCTCAGGACCAAGCACGCACATGCGCCCCCATAGCAAGTGGAGTGCTATGGTGGCGCATGCAAAAGAAGAGCCTAGAGTGCCAGCAGGGGACCCCAGAAGAGAAGGATTGGGGCCACCTGTGCCATTCCATGGCACAGAGCAGGTAAGTATAACATGTTTATTTAAAAAAACAAAAAAACAAAAAAAAAAAAACACATTTAAGAATTTACAAGCACTTTAAGGATGAACATAACCTTGAAGAGAATCAAACTATCAGACATATGTGGGTATAGAGTTAATCTAATACAAAGCAGTATATAATTTGAGGGCAATACATAACTAAGTTAATACTTTGCTTTAGTTTAAAGAAGTATGACCAAAGCCTTAATCTGATGCTGCATCCACCTACATGAGTAGAATTGTTTTTACGATCCTGAACTTCTCTTTTAATATTATAACTTGACTTTTGCCTGCAGAAGAAATTGCAGCTTCGCACTGAGTCATTTTAAAACTAGCAATGTTAGATGTTACCTGCGCCACCTGCTGTTTATATAAGGAAACAAAAAGGGCAAAATATATTAAGCCCCACAATGAACTTCTGGTATTTACTTCCTCGTGGTTTGTTAAAACTACAATTGAAAGTCTTTTGTTACATCTGTTCTGAAATCCAGTGAGCTGATAATTAAGTGTTCTTGCGTGGCAACACCACTTACTGTTATCTCACATATTATTATAGCCAAATTTACCACCCTAACTCCTCCCACAGTTTTTTACAATACATAGATAGTAATATACCGAAACGTGCGGATTGTTCCCGATTGGTGTGTGCTATTATTTTGTGGAAAGTTTCGCCTAATGGTTCACAAAATATCAGCGTTTTTGTGGTAAAATTGGTCCCATAGGAATGAATGGCGGAATGTTCAAAACTAGAGTGGGAGCTGACAAAAGCTCGAGAGTGAGCTGAAAAATCAGGACATTTCTAAACTGCCATCACTCCCTCATTTTCCAGCCCACCTACACAAATCTTATATCAAAACGTCAAAAATGTCCACGGCTAAGCCATAGTCCTGATAGTTTTCACAATATGACCATTTGTTTGCAACTCACGCCGCCCATTGACATTCATTGAAACTCCACTCTAGTCACCTCAAATTTGAAGGGAAATTTCTAAACTGCGACTGTGCCTTCATTTTTAATATTTCAGAGACATACTATGCATCAAAATGTAAGTCTGGGTTTTGTGATTCTCACAATATAAAGGTGGAGGCAAGAACACTTCACACAATTTCCCCAGAAATTGTAGCTTTTCTAGTTTCTTGTGCATCACTGAAATCTAAAGTGTTATGAAACCCACAACAGTAAAATCAGTCTGTATATGCAGCAAAGACTGTAAGCTCCATGGAGCAGGGCCCTCCTAACCCTCTAGTATTGAACTGTACTGTCTCCCGTTATATTGTAAAGCGCTGAGCAAACTGTTGGCACTATATAATTCTTGTATAATAATAATACTTACTTTGGAACCTAAGGGGTTAATCCTTTGCATTGTGTAAAAAGGCTGTTTGATACTGTCTTCTCTGATCCTCCCCTTCTCCTACTGTCCCCAATCCATCTGCTGATAGTACAGAGCTCTAGGAGTCACTCTGCACATGCTCAGTTTAGTGTGTATTGCTAGAGAGTTTTCTTTTCTTTGGGCAGATGCATGTAAACAGCACAGGGCCAATGATCACTGTCCAGACAGGGGGTCAGGGGTTATGCAGCTTCATAGGACAGTCAGAGTAGAATGAAAACTCCCTCCTATAAGCTATAACCAGTGCTCTGCTGAACACTGATAGAAGTCACAAGACTGCTCTAACTGCTGAGAGAAAAGGTATTTAGCAGTTTATATTTACTAAAATAATTGCATTTCCATACTGTGTACTGTTGGAGACCAGATATAGTGAATGCAGGGTTTAGTAACACTTTAAGCATTGATTTCAGATCTGTCCAGCTCACCTCTGTGGACTACAAACACCCCCATTCAGTATGGATATAAGGAGAAGAGAAGGGGTGTTCTGTAGCCCTAACACACTTCCTGTTCTAGGGTAACAATATTGCTTTCCTATAGATACAGTACAGTGAGTGAGAATTATCACCCTAGGACAGAAGGTGTGTTACTGGCAGGACAATAAAGAAAAAAAGAAATGAAAAATAAAAGAGCATAATAATCAAATCCAGCCACCACATCTAAGGACGGGTAATATATATAGTCTGATATAATACATATTTGTTCTTTAAGCAATGCATTGTACGTCTGTAGTTATTTACTGATAGTCATGCCGAAATGTACTGTATTCTGTACACACATCCTCTTCAGCAGTGAGTGTAATTGATATAGGGTCTCTTATAATTGATCTGTTAGTCATTTCCTTCTTTTCTACAAAACATTCATCACAATTATACAACATTTAGGCCTTTCAATTGGGTCAGCTTGTATAAAAGCAGTGTGTGCTGCAAGCTTTGAGTTACTTTGTTGAAGCCTTTAGGCCTCATTCACATGGATGGATCTATCTGTACACTTGTGCGAGGACTGTTTTTGCCCATACAGTGTGCATAGGTGTTCCATGCATCCGCATTCAGGCAGTTCCATTAATGTCTATTGGAATGCATCAGCTGCCAGGCACAGCCACTGGTCCCAAGTCAGCATTTGGGAACACACACCCAGATCTGAACAGCTATCAAACTGGGACCAGTGGCTGTGTCCAGGCAGGCACTGCGTCCCAATAAACATGTGTAGCACCCTCCTAGGCAGCTAGGGGAGCTAAACTCCAATTGTTAGCTAGGGCTGAGTAGCAGCCTGGGAGTAATGACTAGCAGGGGATTAAAATTGGGTCAGGGCTGACAGGCTCTGCAGACTAGCCGCTCTGCAATTTCTTCTGTTCTAAAACTTTGTAGAAAGGTCTAGAAGCAGTGGGCGGATTTGAGTAGTGGCTAGTTTGTACACTTATAGGATCCTGGCCAACCCCCAACAGGAGGCTTGGCAAGGGGCCAGGACAACCTTTAAGAGTAACTGAGTCTGCTCAGTAGCAATAGAGTGAGTGGAAGAGAGAGAAGAATGTGAAGCTGGAGGAGATTGTGAGGGGGCCTGAATGGAGAGGGATTCACCTGCAGGCAGAGGACTTGGAGGGAGGAAAACTCTGGACTTTACCGGACCCCTGAGAGATGATCACCTGTGAGGCAGGGAAAGTACGGCCTGTGACGACCGCGGCGTCAGACCCCTGACCTTCTCACCAAACTCGTGACCGAAGGACTAGCCAATCTAAAACCGCAAGGTCACGTGCGTAACAATGCCACGCCGAGCTGCACCCTGCACAATGATTTTCCAGCTAATTGGACCACAATCGATGTACCAGCAGCCTGGGAGCGATTGGTACTGGGTCAGGTTAATTACGCAATTAACCCTTTACACTGCCACCACCTCCTTTTTGTACCGAGAAAGAGGAAACTCGTCAATCTCAGCAATAACACTACGATGGTTGAGATAATCGTCTGTATAACACTGTCACTGCAGAGCGGTTATACAGAGGGTTAAACAAACACAGTAGCGCTCTTTCAGAGGCAGGAATTTGTAAATTGCATTAACGAGCTATAGAAACAGTTCAGCACTTTCAGAAAGTAAGATTTATTACTAAAAGGTCAAAAGGGTGCAATAAAAATATTTAAAGAAAAAAAGATGTATCCATTATATATATAAATATACAGAGAACAACAAAGAGGTAACAGAAAGGAGGTTAAAGGGTTAAAGTACTTGCCAATCAACCTTGGGTTTGCAGATCAAGTTTCAGAGCGAAAGGGCTGTCTCCCAAGTTGGTTCTGATTAGAGATGAGCGAATTATTCAAAAATTCGATTCGGCTGATTCGCCGAATTCGCAGAATAAATTCGATTTGAGGCGAATATATTCGCTGCGAAGTTAACGTGTAAAAAGGGTGTTTCTAGGCTTCAGAGAGCCTTTATATTAGTGCAGAACACTGTACCTTTAATTTAAATGCCCTTGGAGTCTGCTGGGGAAGAGAAATAATACTGTCAGTCAGTATGACATGCAGATGAGTGCCGTCGATCTTAGAATCACCGCACACTTCACTCATTTGGGCAGTCACGGGGCCAAAACCAGAGTGTGGAGCCACAGTGTGGCGGTGGAGGCAGCAGCAATGGGAGGCCATACAGCACCCTATGACAAAATGGAACCCACCAGCAGTGTGAGGAGACCTGAAAGTGGCACATGGCAGAGTGTGGCGATGGAGACAGCAGCAATGGGAGGCCGTACAGGGACCCATGACACACTCTGGACCTGGCAGCAGCATGAGGAGGCGGTACAGGGGCCCATGACAGATTACGGGCCTGGCAGCAGCATGAGGAGTCGGTACGGGGGCCCATGGCAGATTATGGGCCTGGCAGCAGCAATGGGAGGCCATACAGCACCCTATGACAAAATGGAACCCACCAGCAGTGTGAGGAGACCTGAAAGTGGCACATGGCAGAGTGTGGCGATGGAGACAGCAGCAATGGGAGGCCGTACAGGGACCCATGACACACTCTGGACCTGGCAGCAGCATGAGGAGGCGGTACAGGGGCCCATGACAGATTACGGGCCTGGCAGCAGCATGAGGAGTCGGTACGGGGGCCCATGGCAGATTTACGGGCCTGGCAGCAGCAATGGGAGGCCATACAGCACCCTATGACAAAATGGAACCCACCAGCAGTGTGAGGAGACCTGAAAGTGGCACATGGCAGAGTGTGGCGATGGAGACAGCAGCAATGGGAGGCCGTACAGGGACCCATGACACACTCTGGACCTGGCAGCAGCATGAGGAGGCGGTACAGGGCCCATGACATATTACGGGCCTGGCAGCAACATGAGGAGTCGGTACGGGGGCCCATGGCAGATTACGGGCCTGGCAGCAGCAATGGGAGGCCATACAGCACCCTATGCAAAATGGAACCCACCAGCAGTGTGAGGAGACCTGAAAGTGGCACATGGCAGAGTGTGGCGATGGAGACAGCATCAATGGGAGGCCGTACAGGGACCCATGACACACTCTGGACCTGGCAGCAGCATGAGGAGGCGGTACAGGGGCCCATGACAGATTACGGGCCTGGCAGCAGCATGAGGAGTCGGTACGGGGGCCCATGGCAGATTACGGGGCCCATGGCAGATTACGTCGACTATCAAGAGTCCAATGGCAGAGTGGCGGAGCAGAAGCAGCTTCAATTGAAGGCTATACACAGGCCTAGGTTTAAAAGTCCCTCACAGTTAATTCCAATAACGAACTCTACTCCTCCGTGCAATCTACTTACGAGACCCTGGGCAGGTCTGGGTCCAATTTGTGGTAGAGACTGGTTTTGTTCAGCCATGCTTGAGCGAGTAATAACAGGTCTGTGCTGCCCTTTGGTGTCTGGCTTAATGCGCACAACACTGAACGTCCCAGCGTTTGTCAACATTTGCCGTTAAGTGATGCAAACCCGCTGAACCACGTTCATGAGGAGCCGGTACAGGGGGCCATGAATCAGTATGGACCTGGCAGCAGCGTGAGCAGACGACAGAGGCACATGGCGCAGGGTAGCGGTGTAGGCAGCATTATTCTGAAGCCATACACAGGCCTAGGTTAAAAAGCGGAAGCCGTCAGCAGCGTGAGCAGACGACAGAGACACATGGCGCAGGGTGGCGGTGGATGCAGCAGTATTCGGAAGCCAAACACAGGCCTCGGTTAAAAAGCGGAAGCCGTCAGCAGCGTGAGCAGACGACAGAGGCACATGGCGCAGGGTGGCGGTGGAGGCAGCAGCAATGGAAGGCCATACAGCACCCTATCACAAAATGGAACCCACCAACAGTGTAAGGAGACCTGAAAGTGGCACATGGCAGAGTCTGGCGATGAAGTCAGCAGCAATGGGTGGCCGTACAGGGACCCATGACACACTCTGGACCTGGCAGCAGCAAGAGGCGATACAGGGGCCCATGGCAGAGTGGCGAAGCGTAAGCAGCTTAAATTGAAGGCCATACAGAGGCCTATGTTAAAAATAATAACATGTTTGGGGCATGATTCATGGCGGATTTAGTCAGTTGTGTCAGGAACTGGTGGTTTGAAATCCAGACTAATCCACGCCTGATTCATTTTCACAAACGTGAGTCTCTCCACACTTTGGGTGGACAGTCGTGTCCTCCGCGGAGTTACAATACCTCCTGCCGCACTAAACACGCGCTCCGATGCCACGCTACTGGCCGGGGCATGACAGCCTTTCAAGGGCAAATTCAGCTAGTTGGGGCCAAAGGTCAAGTTTCGTTGCCCAGTAGTCAAGGGGATTGTCTACCTCGGTTGGCAGGGTGCTGTCCAAGTAGGCCCGAGCCTGTTGTTTGAGGTCCTGCTCCAGGTCCACCTGATGCTGCTGCTGCTGCGGCTGGTTAGTAGTTTCCTCACTGCGCTGGTGAAGAAAGCTACTCATCATCGACTGCAGACTGAGGCAGCCGCTGCTGGTGGAGCTGCCACTGCTCCTACCACCCCACCCCCTCCCCTGCTGCCATGGCAGCGGAACGCGAGCGCACAGGGCCCACAGTGTCTGAGGATGGACGTTGGCGCAGAAAGGCAGAGACCAACTGACTACATAGGTGGTTTTTATAGTACTTTATTTTGGCCTCCCTCTCAGCAGGTGTGAAAAAGGCCACCATTTTTGAACGGTAGCGAGGGTCCAACAAGGTGGACAGCCAAAAGTCATCCCTCTGTCTGATGGTTATTATTCGGCTGTCGCTACGCAAGCAACCGAGCATGCTATGGGCCATTTGTGCCAAGGAATGCGAGGGACTCCCTGCCTCCATCTCCACAGCATACTGCCACGGTGCGTCTGGGTCCTCTGTCTCCTCCTCCTCCTCCTCTACCAGATGCTCCTGCTCCTCCACTCCTGTCCGCTGAGTGGAAAAACCACCCATTTCACTCAATAATTCCTGAGCACCAATGTCCTCCTCTACCTCCTCCTCCTCTTCTTCCTGTCCTGCCCCCACAGGGGTCATGTGGCGTTGAGATCTGTGCGCCACGTCTACCGCACCCTGACCAGCCATTGTTAACAGCATTTGTTCCAGGACGTGCAACAGAGGAATGACGTCGTTCATCCCATAGTCCTGCCGACTCACGAATAGCGTGGCCTCCTCAAAGGGCCTGAGCAAGCGGCAGGTGTCACGCATGAGCTGCCAATGGCTGACATCTAAGTTACACAGGGGAGTACCTTTATCCGCTTGTAACATCAGGAAATCGGTGTGATGGCCTTTCGCTGTTCGTAAAGGCGGTCTAACATATGTAGGGTTGAATTCCACCTTGTTGCAACGTCGCAGATCAGGCGATGCTGTGGAATTCCGTTCTGCCGCTGCAGCTCAAGGAGGGTGTGCTTTGCGGTGTAGGAATGGCTGAAATGCATGCAAAGTTTACGTGACATTTTAAGGATGTCTTGCAGTGGGATGGTGGATTTTAGGAACCGCTTGACAACCAGATTGAACACGTGAGCCATGCATGGCGCATGGCACAACCTTCCTTGACGCAGAGCAGACACCATGTTCTTTCCGTTGTCGGTCAACATGGTTCCGATTTTCAGTTTGCGCGGAGACAGCCATCTGTCGATTTCTCTGTTCATTACACTCAGAAGTTCCTCCCCTGTGTGACTACGTTCGCCAAGGCATACCAGGTGCAGCACAGCGTGACACCGTTGCGCCCTGCACATGTGATATGCCGGTCGGGTAATGGGACTTGGCACGGGGGGGTGGCGGCTGAGGACACGGCGGAAGAAGAGGTGGTAGAGGCGGACATCTTTGCTGGACCAAGGACGTGCAAACGTGGAGGCAAAAGCGGCGTGACCTGTCCAAGTTGCTGGTGCGGCTGTGCCGGCACCACGTTCACCCAGTGGGGCCGTAAATGACATGTACTGTCCCTGACCGTAGTTACAGCTCCACACGTCGGCGCTGCCGTGCACTTTGGCAGAGACCGACATGCTCAAAGACTGGCCCACCATCTCTTCTACATGTGAATGCAGGGCTGGCACTGCCTTTTTGGCGAAGAAATGCCGGCTTGGCACTCTCCACCGCGGCTCGGCACAAGCCATCATTTCTCGGAAAGGTGCTGAGTCCACCACTTGGAAAGGGAGGGACTGCAGCACCAGCAACTTGGACAGGAGGACGTTCAGCTTCTGCACCGTCGGGTGCGTGCTCGCAAACTGTTGTCTCTTGGAAACGGATTCCAAGAAAGACTGCTGACGGAATCCGTGAAGAGGAGTAGCAGGAGAAGGAGCAGCATCTGAACGAGCGGAAGATGCCAACGAGCGACAACTCCCCTCAGCAGAGGTGTTGGAGCCTTGACTGGCTGATAGAGGGCGATTGACGTCGGGTGACGGAGCAAGTAACGGAGCGGGTGATGGAGCGGGGGCTGGGGCAGGCAGAACCGCCGTATCTTTATCACGGTTTTCCCAGGCCACCGAATGGCGACGCTGCATATGCTGACGCAACGCTGTAGTCCCAACATGGGCCCCCTGGCCACGCTTGACTTTCTGGCCACATAGTCGACATACGGCTACGTTTACTTCCTCGGGCGGGCTTGACGAAAAATTGCCACACCGCCGAGTAGGAAACTTTGCCCCCGCTACTCCTCACTGGGCTGACTGCTACTTCCTCCGTGCACACCGGCACACCACTACTGGCCGTGGTGGTAGGCTGCAGTGGAGCTGGTGTGCTCTACTCCGTGGCCGTTTGCCTCCACTGACACTGCTGCGACCCTGCTGCCTCCTGGGCAACCCACCGACTGTTTTGCTCGCTGGCAAGCTGGCACCCTCTTCTCCTGATGATGCGGAAGCAATAGCCTGATGACGACGAGGCTGCCAAGTGTGCGATCAGCCTCATCATCATCAATTAGGGTCTCCGCGTCACTACTAGCCCCCTCGGCTGCGTGTGGGTCAGGAGACAGACCTGTCTCTAGACCGGCTACCGAGCCACTCTCCTCGCCAGTACTTCTTCGCCTGGCTGCTGAAGAGGCGGATGTCCCCCCGTTCCTGACCGCCCTCTGTTAGCTCTTCCTCACTGTACAGTGGGGCTGAGCCCACAGCATGCGATACTTCGCTTGGTGAGGGAACACCAAAGGACAGGGGCAGGTAGAGGACACGTGATTTCAGTGGGCTTGCTCCCGGGCCATGCCAACTAACGGTTGTGTCTGACGTACCCACCGACCGTTGGCTGTAGGTGTCAGAGGTGACCTGGGAAGAGGAAGACGACCGAGTCAACCAATCGATGACGGCAGGGTTGTCGGTGGAGACACGACCGCTGGATGACACCGGGAGCACTGGCCTCTGGCTGCGACTAGTGCTGCTGCCTCGACCCCTTCCTCTGCTGCCACGTCTGCTCGCTCCTGAAACATTGCCTCCTCTGCCACTCCTCTGCGTGTTGTCTGACATACTCTTTAATTCAATAGTGGTTGTGAAGTCCCAGAAAGTAACGATTCTGTGTCCCTGAGTAACAATTCTGTGTCCCCAAGTAACAATTCTGTGTCCCCGAGTAACGATTCTGTGTCCCCGAGTAACGATTCTGTGTCCCTGTGTCTGTGTCCCCGAGTA